TTCTGGGCTCTCAGAGGAGGTGGAGCGGGCTCTTGGGGTGTGGTTACTTCAGCGACATACCGGACCCACGACCTCGTTCCATTGGTATTGGCGTCAGTCAACAGTACCTTCCCTGATGCACAATCTGCGCAAAAGGTCATAGCGGAACTCATCAGTATACACCCAAAGCTCTCCGACGCCGGGTGGGGTGGTTACTCGACCTTCAATAATGACTTCTTGTTCATTACATTCCTTGCCACCAATATCTCTTGGGCAGATGCGAATGCAACTATTCTTCCTTTCTTCGACTTCGTCCGGAATGCTACCGGTCCGTCCAATGTCAACGCCTCTACCCAACCCTTCGACAATTTCTATGCGTGGATGGATTCCACGGGTCCTGATACCTCTCAGGAGGTTGGGGTGAACGTCGAACTCGCATCTCGTCTCGTGTCCCGGGATGTGGCCGCAGCGAATCGTACAGAAGAAGCGGCCCGGCTGCTCTTGAGCTTTGACATCATGACTTTCAAGTGCGTATTACAGGTCTTTTGAATACAACGTCAAGATCTCACATAGTAATTTTTTTTGCTTTTCGGAACAGTCTCCTTGCCGGCGGTGCTGTGGCTCGTGTTGACCCCGATTCTGTGGGATTGAACCCAGGATGGCGAAAGGCAACCGCGTTTGCTCTCACATTTGAGACATGGGAGGAGGGTGCACCAAGTGATGTTGTATTCCAGGCCCGTCAGCGGGTCGCAGAGTATGTTCGACGTTTAGAACCCATCTCTCCGGACTCTGCCACTTACATGAACGAGGTGAATACACACTCTTTACTTTGGGACCATGTTAATTTACTGACGTGATTCCCAAACTTAAGGCATCATTGTACGAACCCGACTTCAGGAAATCGTTCTTTGGTAGCCACTATGGCAGATTACGATCTATCAAACACAAGTACGATCCTAACTCGATGTTCCTGGTTGCTGAGGGTGTTGGATCGGAGGACTGGAACCGTGATTTGACCTGCCCCGTATAGCCCGCAGACCTCCGGCTTTGTATAGATTTAGGAAATAAACAAGCAATCGCCCTTCGTATCTGCTTGATTCGAATCTGTATATATAAACTGTGATTATTCTTCAAGTACGTGTGTCGCACATAAACCCAGCCAACGGTCCCCATTCAGTGCCAGTGGCTGCGAATTAATGATGGTCCTGTCATTGCCGGGTCACGATCAGTCGGTTCTTGGGTGAGCGTTTTCTGAGCTGTACCTTTGCAGGCCTGGGGCAGTGCCAAGGAGTAAGATTTCGGGCACTTTGCGCTATAATGTGGGGGTGATCCTAGGTCCGGTGTTTTATATCCCACTGAGTCCGTATAAGTATATTGTAAATTGCAAATCACGATACGCTGAGGTCGCACTCCAAATAGTCAGTTTGTTATTTTTTCCATCCCTTTGTGCCTCCAGAGCGACACCCAAGACCACCTACTTCCCTCGACCAAGGGACAGCCTACCCCGAACGTTTCCTTACTACATCAATGTCACATCAGCTCCAATCGGTGCACAGCAGTACGGAAGAAAACTTTCTAGTCCAGGTCCCCGGCGCTCCATCTGAAGGCCTGGAGGGCCCACGAAGAATAGTGATTAGTGATCGACACGGGTAACCCGCGGGTATATTTGTACCTACCTGTACCCGTACCCGCCAAAACCCGTACCCGCCAAAACCTGTACCCATGACGGCGGGTACGGGTTTTTGGCGGGTTTCCATACGGGTACAGGAACGGGTACAAACCCGCGGGTTACGGATTACGTGTCTTTAACATAGTAAGAACTCTTGTGGCGAGGTATGTGTATTGAGGCTACAAAATGATATCATAAAACTACAAAATGATATCCTCATCTTCCTTAGCATCTGGTAGAGAAGCAGCCGTCTCCATCTTCAGAGTCCTCTCCCCCATCAGACAGCTCAAGGATATGGTGTGAATTATTTGGGGAGGTGTTGTGCCTTGAGTAAGTGTCGCCATCTTCAATTTCCTCAATATCCTTAATAATTCAATCTTTGTCAGCAGATACATTATCCGTATTGGTGATATAAGCTGAGAGTTTTTGTTTACGAGGCTTGTCAGTAATAAGGGAGGGATCGACGCCATCTCGCGCCATGGTGAAGGGCAGTGGTTGAGGGTGGAAAAGACAACGAGGGGACAGGATTCTATGGTTGTACAACATTGTCTTTCTGACAAGTCAACGACAGGTGTACGACTCTTGTAACACGGCCATGACAGTTGG